CCCAGGCTGAGCCCCTCTCGTGGGAGAGGACGCAGGGCCCTGATGCTGCCGAGGCGCAATCCCCCAGCCCCAGGAGGCCAGGCAGGTTCTCTTCAGGGTGGGGGGTACCCCCCAGCCCGGGAACCCCCCGCCCCAGCCAGGCGGTGACAGAGCAGGGCCACGGGCACGTCCCCAGACGGGTTCCCAGCCTCCCTCTCCCCCGTGGCGTTGCAATTCAGGTAATTAAAACCCAGCCCCGAAGACGCAGGAAAACCGCAGGAGCTGGAGGGAGGCCGGTGGCGAGGCTGTGCCGAGCATCCCTTCTCCCCCAGCCCAGCTCCCGGCACCCCGGGGTGCTGAGGGCTGCGCCGGATGGACCCCGGTGATGCACGAAACGGGGGGGGCCATCGTGCTGCGATGCTCCCATCGGGATGCAGGCGACAGCTCCCGCCACACCCGCTTCCATTGTGGGGGACAGCTGGGGGGGCTGCACCAGCATCGCCCCAGCCCCATCGCCGGTGGTTTTATTTCCGTGGTAATTTGGGGTCATTTTTCCCAGGAGCCCGGTGCGGCGGAGATCAAAGCTGGGCGCATTCGGTGGCGGCTCGGCGGGCGTGGGGAGATGCAGGGGCTGCGAAGGCGGCTCCGGCCCCGCTCGCCTACGGAGAGGATCTCTAACCCTTCCCCCAAGCCTGGCCAGTGGAGGGGCTCTGCCATGGCCCCCAGTGAGCCCCCACCGCCATTTACAGGGCGAGAGCAGAGCCAGCCCTGCATGCACCCCAGGCGTGCAGAGGGGGGGACCCACGGGTGCTGCAGGCCAGACCGCAAGGCAGGGGGGGTTTTGGGGAAGGAGGTGAGGGGCAGCCCAGGCTGAGCCCCCCGCCTTCATCCAGGGCATCCGGGGACACAGCTCAGCCCTTCTCCCCACTGGAGCATCCCCCGGGTAAACGGGTCGGGGCTGGTGCTGTGTGTGATGCTGGGGGCTGGGTGTCCCTCCGCCCTGGGGGTCTGCCCTCCTGCCACCCCAGGGACTTGCGTGGGGCAGTGACACCACACAGGGACCCCTGCCCCACACACACATTTGCATGTGTTTGGGGTTGGGAGGCGCTGGGGCAGCTGGCAGCGTTGCTCCTCTCCGTGTCCCCATAAGGGCCCTGTGTGGGTCACCCTTGAATTGTCACCATGAGCTCCCGTCCACCTGGGGAGCGAGGGCCAGCGGGTCCCCGTGGCAGGGGCGGGACGCGGAT